ATTATGGGTGAGGAAATGTGCAGCAAGAATACGAAAACTGAAAATAATCAGTAAATCACCAACATACCTCTCATTACACTGACAGTAGGCATGGATCTGGGCCCTCCCATGTTAACCATCTCCTGCTGACGCTCCTGTTCCAGCATAACTGCAGCCTGATGTACAAGGAAAGAGGATATGGGAGTTAAATACATGGTTAAAGAAGTAAGATCGAGGGTGTAAGAAGGGGATAAAAAAGAGAAAAGGATGCCCTAACTGCTGATGAAGGGATTGTTTTTAAACTGTTAATTTGGAAATGTACAAAAATCTTTTGTTCAATGAATTAAGTGACACAAAAGTAAATTGTACACACAACAAGAACATGTCCTATTTGATGTCTTTGTAATCGTTAAATCTAAAGCAGAGCTCTATCTGATGATCCATTATAGCTAAGTGACTATTTAAGAGGGGGACTATCTTCACCGTCTCACCCTTTTCTGCTGCTCCAGGAGATCGTGTTCATCCAAGACACGGGAATCGCCCTGTGATACACAGACACAATTCATGACCGAGCGACAGTCAAATAAAAACTCTATAGTATTTTCTATTTCTAGTCCTGCATTTTCTTTCCAAAAAGCAGAAAGTTCTTGTTGCATTGCTCTATAGTGACTGGAACTTTTATCTGGCAGCCATCAGCTATAAGTGTAGCAGTTGCTGTATTTTTTTTTATATCATCCAGAGGAGATATTTTGAGGTTGTTTTCTTTAATTTGTGTTCTCTTGTTTTTCTGGGCCTGTTTTTGTTTCTCTTAATCTTACCATCTCGTAGACTGAGTGCATCTCAGTGCTGTTTGTGTTTTAAAGGCAAAGCTGAATGCAACAAGTGGCTCGCACAGTAAACCTGCAGTCCAGCCACCCTCACCTGCTGCTTGGCTCTCTCCTCTTGCTGTAGCACCATAGCTGCTCTCTGCTGGGCCATCTTCAGTTGATCCTCCTGTGACAGGCCTGGAGGGGGCAAACCTGGGGGCTCCATGCCCATGTGGATGCCGGGTGGAGGGGGCCCTCCGGGCATCATGCTCATAGCCTGGAGCATGCCTATACCAGGAGGCATGGGCGGCATGGGCATCGGGGGCATAGGAGGCATACCTGGCACACCTGGCACACCTGGCACCTGCAGAGGAGCGGTTGTGAGTGAGGCTTCATGCTTGTTATTACTCTATTTATTAAACCTGTAATATGGAATATACCCTTCATATGTCACTAATATTAACAGTAAAGTGGTAAACCGTTCCGTCATATAGTGAGAGAGAAATCAATATATACACCTAACCAGATATTATTTGTCAAATATTAGTCATTTTATATGATTACAGCAATTCTGTTCCCAAAAATCAGAACATATAGCAAAGTGTGATCCTAAAACTTCAAAATAGGGTGTCAGATACAAATGTAAATTAAATTTAACTTCAATATACAACACTAGTTAGGAATACACACTAAACTGATATCATCTTATCCAGGAAATCTGTGAAGATCCAACAGCAGTGTGTGTGTGTGTGTGTATGAACAAATAAAAGAGCAACGTGAGAAAATAGCAGACAATAGATTACTATAGACTTTCAGCTACATTTTCCATATGAAATTTACCTGCGGGCCCATTGATTTGTCATCGTTAGGTTTGCTGAGGAGGATCCCAGTCTGCAGAGAGAAGCAAGAATTAGTGCATCATTTCATTAATCGCATTAAAACGGTGGCAGAAACAACTTCACCTCAACTAAGTTTGAAGTATGCATTATCGCTACCTATTCATGTGTAGCTGCAAGGTGATCAACAACACTACAGTTTAAGTAGGCTGCTCCCACTGCTACGAGTACTAAAGACATTCAAGGTTAATACATTGGAATATCTGATACACTGTTCAAACTAAAAGAGGCACAGACTTCGTGGTCACATTTACCTGCATCATGTAGCCCTTCAGTCTGTCCATCAGCTCCTCTCTGGGACCTGGAGAATGACAAAAAGCTTTATTCAAGAAGTACCTACTGTTATGTTATCAGCAGTCCTGATTTAACACTATAAATACGCGCTGTATTTCCCACACTAAGTTAGTTAATCCCTCAGCAACACTACACACACTACCAGAGGAGTTAGCTGACAAGTGCTAGTTAGCCAGCAAGTTAACTCAATGGGCTTCTTACTTACAGGAACAGATGAATGTTTGTGTGTTTGTGCTACTTTAAACACACTTTACTGGTATATTTCCTGCATAAATAGACAGGGCAGAGTGTAAACACACAGCAGGCCTAGCTTTATCTCACTGCAACGAAGGTGTTGCGTATTGCTAGTTAGCGTTAGCAGCTAAGTCTCCTTTCATGGCTCTTTCCGTGTTTCCCGGTTCTTTTTCTTACCCATCGTCGGCGCTCCGAGCTCCGCCAGCTTGGACTGAAGCTCCGGGTGGCTCCATGTGTTCAAGGCCGCGATAGCGCTCCCTAAATCGGACGGGAGGGATTCGGTGCCCGGTGGTCCGTCGGATGCCATGTTGAGGTTTTCTCAATGAAACAACGGCGGCCGGAGGAAGACACGCGTAGAACGGGAACTAGCGCAAAGCATGACGGGAAGTACTCTCTCCCGCACTGCCTGCCGGGACATGAAGTCCGAAATGAGGACACGGCGTTTACTGATAAAAGCCTCTAGATGTCAGTGTTGACTCCTCGTATCTTGCACGACGGTGTTTTTTTAGTGAAAGTCCTGGATTCAAAAGTACAAGTTAATTCTGCTAATTCAACAAAGAATTAAAAAAAGTTAAATACTAATCATGCATTGGATCATTATTAAAGATGCATTATTAGTTTGTAAGCTGCAGCTGTCAGATAATGTTTTGGAGTAAAAAATGACAACATTTTTCTCTAAAAGTCAGTTTTAAACATTTCAAACACAAGTAAAGTAAGTACAGTTCATATTATATGCCTAGTTAAGCAGCTAAATATAACACATTAATACATTCCAGCTCTGAAAAAGACAAAGCTACACATGGATACATTAACTTTCATAATAATGCACAATGGAAACACGTTGATTAAGTGTTACAACTTTATCTAATGCCAAAATAATTCGCTACAATGTATATCATTCCAACCTATCAACAATGAACTGCCTTTTAAAGCGGGTTATGCTGTGAACAACTGCACCGAAGCACAGGGTGTGTGTGTGTGTGTAACCCTCCCTTTCAGTGTAGTGTGGTTTATGGCTAACAGGCACTGCGCAGGCGCACTGTAATGGGGGGTGCAGCCAGATCAGAGCCGAGGCAGCAGGGCGTTTCTAAATAATAAGAGCTGTTAAAGACAGGAGGGGACGAACCCACACTAAAACATGGAAGAGAAAAAATAAACTGAAGTAGCACATTGAATGTCTAAGTAACTGCATTTTAAAGGAAACACCCGGCAAGGTAAATATAAGATTCCTTCATCCACACTGCTTTTACTTTACAGTTTGTGTCTCGCTGCAGGGAGATATATGTCTTTAAATGCTTCTGACATCCTAGCCTGAACTTTTTTGAGTTGACATGAGTTTGTGAGCCGTTGCATTGCGAACACTAATGTAATCAACCATGTCAAACCAAACTCCTCGCACAAAGACCAGCCTCTTAAAACTTTCCAGGACACCTTGGAGCCATGAAATCTGGCAATGTTGCGCCGTCGTTTACGCGGAAATCTCTTGTTATGGTAGGGTTGTAATAGTTCTTCCTGCTCACTGTGACACGGATACTATGCTTGATGAGAGTGAGGTGAAAGGAAATGGGGTCGCCCAGCTGTTCGTGTGATTCAACTCGAGAAAAGTTGCAGTTTTGACAGCTGGACCTTGTATCTCTCCTCTCAGGGACCACACCTACCTCCAGGACTCCATGTTTATCTGTGTGAGCCATATGTATGTATATAAACTGAACCTGCACCACCAGGATATGCCTTTAAAATACACGTACAAGTTTAATTAAACCACTCAAGTAGAACAAGTGTTACATGCACAGCTTGTGTTTTTCTTCACCCCCCTCCTTTTGATAAAAATCACTCATAAAGTCAGCATTTCTTTTCCCCATTGGACACTGTGAGTGTCTAGTTTCTCTGCTGGTCTATTTTATCCACGGCTTTAAAGGCACAAAACACTTTGGCTATTTTATTTCAACAGTGTTTGGAATATGAACCCTGCATGCAGAAATACACCAAGAGGCTACCATAATGCTTACTCACAGCACAAACACTGGACCTCACGCACCCACAGGCATGATGGTTACAGTCAGAGTGTATTTACGCTGTCTGTGCCCCTCACTGTGTCGTGAGAAGGAAACCACTGTGCAGACACCCATCAGCAGAAAAGCAGCAGTGGCAGACGCTGTACTGACGTTTGTGTTGGTTTAAAGAATCCTGGTGTGACTGCTGTTGAACTCATATGACCCCCCTCATCTGTCTTTACTGTATAATTTTGACCCATATTTTTTCTCAAGTTGCATAATAACAGCTGATAATAACATGACATGTATGTTATCTAATTCCCCCTTTAGAAAGGGTTTATTGCACATGGTTGGCATTCATTAGTAATGGAGGAAATGGAGTACACATATGATATGCTGCATGCATCTGTTTCCATAGATTCTTTCATTCTCTAACTTTAGCTCCAGCAGAGTCTTTAATATTTGTCTATTTTTGTAATTCGGCTTTCTGTTCTGTGAATCTGGTGGCGAAAGAGCCTCAAAGCTTTCCCTGTATGCATCTGGACGTGCAGTCTACTGGTTGTCATTGCTCATAAATGTCACTACCTGCACTGAGGTGGAGGATATCTGTGAGTGTGTGTATGAGTGTGTTTCACATGTGAGTGGAAATGAAATATTCATTAGAGCCAGATTGAACTCACATGGGGAAGATTGTGCCCCTGATAACACACAGCAGAGACACAAACCACCGAATGGTTGGGAAGTTAGTGGAACAGTAATGCCAGCACACATATGTTGGTCACTGATTTCCTTTAATAACTGTTATTAAAGTAGCCCAAAAAAATTATATTATAAAAAATTATATGTGTGTTACTGTAAGTATTGGATTTGCAGAAATAGCTGCAGTAACAGTAATATAGTGTAACAATGTATCGACATATTTGACACATTTTTTACAAAATGTTACTTTTGTATAAAGAGACGTGGTGTAACAACACCTAAATTTAAGGCTTTGTATTTCATGCAAAGTCCCTTATTGCACTTTATATGTTGATTTAGGGGCTACTTTTAAAAAAATGTCATTGACTTACACACATTATAAATGTTTTTGTGGCAAATTTTAATAGACTTACAAAGTCAGTTTTTTTAAAGTTTTTGCAATGTTTTACTTTTATTTAAACATTACCTAAATAAACAAGTCTAAAGAAATAATTTAAATACTGTCTGACCAAACAATAAGTAGTATAAGTACAAATCTGGCCAGACATTCAGTGCTAGCTTTCGATACAGGATGCTATAACGTATTTTGGTCAGTAAGCGTCATAAAGTAGTAGTACTATCAGTGGTGGTAGCAGAAGTGTAGCTGTAGTAGCCCAGCAGCAGTAGTAATAATTGTAGTACTCTTGCTGTTGGTAGTAGTTGTAAATTGTAGTAAAAGCTGGATCTTACACAAGTTCTCATATAAAACAAGTCTGTAAAACTCTGCAGCAGACTTGGAAACCTGTTGCCGTGGCTGCTACACGATCTGTTCTCTGGCTCTGTGAGCAGGAACTTTTTTCACTCAGTGAGCTGGGACATTTTTGATGGGTGTGGTTCACAGCGAGCAGGGGGAAACAGGGGCTGCGTTCTTCGAGCCAATGAGAGCCAAACTCTTTTCAGCTTCTGCTGTGACTGACAGCCGAGTCTTGAAACAGGAAGAGTATTTAGTTTGGATAGGGGAGAGTGCGGGTAGTAAAAAAAAAAAGAGACGCGTTGTTAAAAATAAACCTGCCTTTTGTGTATGTCTGTTTAAATAGATTAAATTGACAGACAGGAAGGAGCAAAGCAAAGGACTACAAAGTCAGACGAACTGAGATGAAGTGTTCACGAAGCTCCAGTTCTGGAGTTCTGCCAAGAGCTTCGGTGGCACTAATGACAGTTTACACCTCCTCCTCCCTGGCTCTGCTTAATTAAAGAGTCGGAGAGAGCTTTTGCTTGTTGTGGGCCTCGTGTTGCCTTCATTGTGCATCGAGATTCACAGAAAAACCGCACCCTCTGTCATCCCTGCGCACAATAAATACTGCACGCACACACACAGAGCTACCGTCCAACGGTTTGGTAACTGTGATTAAACATTGACTTTAATGCGTTTCTGACTGACACTCTGTGCACATTCAGCACCACACAGTAAATGTAGCACTGGTGTGCCTATTGTGACTAATCCCTTTGCTATGCATAGCGAGCATGTGTATATAGTTGACTGAAAAGAAACAGGTAGGGCTCATTCTACTTTTAAACCCTTAATGCATGTATAGAGGGTGTATACAGCTGCTGCCTTTGTTTGTGCTGCACACGGTATAGAGCTGTGTATGGACGTGCATCTCTGCATACTTTCTCTGCTTTCACTGTTCAGTATCTCATTTTCACTGCAACTTCTTTCTTTTAGGGTTTTAGCTGCTGGTGGGACACGGAAGGACTGAAACCCTGCACTCCTGTTGGCACCTGGATTTTTAAAAAAAAGCAACAAACTCTGATTGGTAGATCTTTGGGATAATATTCGCCGTCACTGTGAGGACCAGAGCCTGTGAAGCTTATGCATTTTGAGCCGCTACACGTGTGATTGTTATTGCATCGGAAGCATATCCATCTACAGCAGAACCACAAGTACCGCAACCAAGCAGCAAACTGTTATCATCAATATTTAATAGCTTCTTAATGGCTACTGATGTTTCATTCTGATATATGATTGAGCCTCGAAGCCATTACCATCAGATTCAAATCAGAACTGCCGCAGTGTACAATAGATCACTGTTGCTTCATTAATTATTGACACATCTTTACATCATATTGTTGTTCCACACATACAAACATCCAACACAGAGTGACAGTTGACCCTACACTGTTTACTCCACAAGCTCAGGATGGAGGGGCACATCTATGCTACAGGAATGGCCGCCAAGCTGAGGAGCCAGTGGGATCGCAATGATGGTCTGGGACAGAACCACAATGCTGTCAAGCTTCTGGGTCAGGACTATGAGAGTCTGAAAGCCCAGTGCCTCCAGAGTGGGAAGCTGTTTGAGGATAATTTGTTCCCTTGTGCTGCGTCATCTCTGGGATTCAATGAGCTCGGCCCGAGATCTTCCAAGACCCTCGGAACCCGCTGGATGAGACCCACGGTGAGAAAGGGAGGGTGGGGTAGAGCTCTGAGAGGACTGGGTAATTTGAACGAAGATGTGATATAATTATTATTAGTTCTGACTTTTGAGAGTTGCACAGAGGAAGCAATAAAACAATCAGGTTGGTTGGACAGTTCATTATAAAATGATGAAGTGCTCGTCCTTGTATCAGCAAAATCTTCACTAAGCTTTGTCGTACCACCACAAGTTCTGTGGTTTAATCACAGACTTTCCTGAACTATTGACATCATTTGAACAAGGCAATGCTTCTAAACCTCCAAAAAAAGCTAAATAAATTCTACAGTAGCTAGTAGAGTCTGTCAAAGCATTAATGAGCAGACCATTCTTAGGAAAATGTAGGAGCTATACCTGTAAATGTTAGAATTTTAGACCAAATCTTTACTTGTTTGGCTACAAAACACTCAAATTTGGAACCAAAATTATTCTCTCAATTTTGTATATTTTTAGCCAGTATATTACAAATATATATCATATATATGTATACTTTGCTATATGTAAACACATTTTCCAGGCAGCAAGCTACTGCTTTCAACTCATATTGGTATGGTGTAAAACTCAGCTTACAGATACTGAACACTTCAAAACGATCATTAAGTCGTCTCAGATATTTGTCAAAGTTACAGCTGGTTCTTTAGACAGTGTCAGTTTGTGTGTTCAAGTGCAGTTAGGAAAAAAAGCAACATCTAATCAAACTGCAACCCTTTTAAAAGAAATGTGTGCGGTTTTCTTTTTGTTTATGCTTCATGGTCTGATTTTCCAACAATATAGCTTGTATTTCAGCATCCATCCTTGAACTCCTTTGAATACATATACTCACTTCAAGAGTTTGAGAAAAAGCTGTAAAGGAAGTATCAACACTAACTTTGTACTTGTTTGATGATCTGATTAAATCAATCAAACACTGACTTCAAGAGTAAGATAACTGAATGAATATCCATTCTTTGTTCCTTTTAAGCTTTTTTATTATCCCCAAGCAACCGTTACTCACAGACTAGAATTTCATCTGTTGCTTGGCAACTAAACTTTCAGGGACTATAATGGGTCAGGAGTGATTGGTAGATATCATTGTAATGTTCCAACAACAGCACTCAAGAGTTCTGTTTGCGTGTATCATCGTTCTCTTCCTGGTTTTTATCCTTCCACGCGTCTCGCCAAACGTCCAGGCCTTTCCTGCTTGCCTGTCTCAATGTTTCTCAGTCTCTCATAACTGCTCAATACATAATAAATACTCCAGGGTGCTCCCTGTAGCCGAATATAACACCAGAGAATGAAGTGGGTCTTCATCTCATCTTCATTAGGCGTATCACGCAAACCTTGCAGACAGCGTGCTCTCAGTACTGTTCGATTTGCACATACCGTGACAAGTCACTGTTGTCAGTAATGGAAAAAGCAAGCAAGACAAGTCGTGATCTTAAAAGCTCTCGAGGTTGTGATCGTCAGCGTGACTGGAGCTCTTGGCTCCTCTGGCAGCTTCCATTTGAGTGTGTAGACTCCTGTGTGTGCATATGTTTTGAACATGTGTATGTTTCGTGTGTGTCTTTTGCTTCCCAGGGTCGTTTCTCTCCAAAAAGTCTGATGTTTTATAATGCATGCTCCTTTCCTGCACCACAGGATCTGTAATATTTAATAAGAGGATTCATGGTGTTCACATTGCCCCCAAAATCTGTGCTCTATGTGAGCCTGAAAAAGAGCATTTCAGCCTGTGTGTGTGTTTGTGTGAATTCACCCATGTGCTTGATGGTTGTGTGCACTTGCGGGGAACGAGGATAAATGGAATACTTCTTTTTATAGCTTTGTATAGTGGGGTTTCTCACGCTCAACATGCTATGTAGAAGATGGTATATGAAGCAGGGCGATACTGGGAAACAAGACGTGAACAAGAAACACTAGAATGCGACGTTGTTCTCCTGAAATGTTTATTATGTGATCTCTAGAGGTCCTCAAATAGTCTGGTGTTAATTTTAGCTGTGCACTTTCAAAGGAGCAACTTCACATTTGGAGAAATTGTATATTCAATTGACAATTACAGAATAAAAAGTATTTTTTGGAAATTGGCATTTCAGCCTAAAAACAACTAAGTAATATAAGTAAAAAAAATACACCTTTTAACAACTTCAAATCTTGAACAGTCTTATATGTATACAGCACTGTATGTGTTGTATCTTGTGTTACTGAAGCACCAAATCTGAAAATCTGATATTGTGTTTTTAAGATCTATTTCTTGACTGACAGCTTTAGCATCAGCCTGAGCTTCAAGCAGAAGCAAAACCACTGTGACTAGCGTTTGGGGAAATGAATAGCAAGCTTGCTTGACAGGATTGATTATACATTTTAAATAGAATCTAAATGAGAAGCCTTTGCTTGTCTAGCTGCTTCACGTTGTCAAGTCTTCATACGAAACACCACAATGTGTCTGACCAATCACTATCCTGGACGCACAAAGATAAAACTAATGTCATGTTGATGAAACTGTAGATTTTATCTAATTGTCTGGCTAAAAAAAAAAACAGACTAGTGAGTAACTAATTGCATCCTATAGACATTTATTTGAGCCTCATTTCAAAGGATACTCTAACTGGTGATGTGGAGGTTTTCAAAACTATTTTGACTTGTTGAAACCTATTTTGGACTGGATCAGGGATCAGCCACCAGAGCAACATGTCATTGCTTCATACATTATGTCCTGATCTGGCACCTCACCCTTCCTCTATATTTTGGCAAACCTCAATAAGGGTGGCTATCAGTCTTGAGTCTGCCTAGCTGGACTAGCTATGAAATTTGGCTCATGGTTATGCATGATCTGTGGTGAGAAATCTATTTGCATTATCAGGCTCAAATATGTTTTGCCTTCTTTGATATTAAAGGTTGCTGACCCCTGTGCTAGGCCTTGGCACTAAACAACACAGTAAACATGAAAAAGACAGTAAATGTAATGTTTGTAAAATGGGTATCCAAAAGCAAGAATAGTACTAATTGGTTTTATTTGTGTGTGTGTGTGTGTGTGTGTGTCTGTGTGTGTGCGTTGGACAGGAGTTCTGCAAACGCCCCGAGTTCATTGTGGATGGAGCTACACGCACAGACATCTGCCAGGGAGCTCTGGGTGAGTCCAACTGGGAGAGTGCCCAACTGTTTCACTGTTATTACAGCATGATTCAGATATTAGAAGAGAGGAGAGGAGAGAAATAGCTCAGGTTTAATCTGGTAGAAAGTCAAAGTGAGGAATGTCAGCAGAAGCCAAGAGAGACAGGTAATTGACTGGAGGTTTGCCAGGTTGCAAGTCTAACTGGGAGATGTAGTACATAAATATGTGAAGCTTCCCTCTCCCTTCAGAACAACATGCCCTTGAGTAATACACTGAACCTTTTCTAAGAACACTTGATTAGAACGGAGCCGTCGTTGATGTCTTTATGCTGTGCTTTTGCTGCTATAATAAGTCACACTTTCATGTCAAGAAACCAAGAGATGGTTAGCTTAGCTTAGCATACAGGCTTGAACAAAGAGGGAACATCTAGCCTGGCTATGTCCACCAGCACCATCAATTTACATGTTGTAACAATTTACATAAAGTTGGGGGGAAGTGTGAGTAGATAGATGAAGTAGATTGCAATTTATAATATTTTCTCCGACTTTAGAAAGCTTTAGACTTTAGAGCCACAGAATAGATTGTACTGTTATTATACAGACTGAGCAGTGCCCCTTAATTGACCTTAATGTGCATAATTGGTAGAATTCCCCTTTGAATATAATATTTAACCAAGAGTTTTGAAGTTTTTACAAAAGATTATCCTTAAGTTAATCAGCTCCCGTTGCATATGTTGAGAACTCCCCTTCCATATTTAAATAAACTGAGCTCTAGAGTCAACGTGCCAGGTTACCTACAGTAAGGATTGAAAGATGAGTGATCGAAAGCAACAGGGCAAAGTGAATCAGGACAGATGGAGATAGACAGCCTAAAAGAGAAGAGAAACGGAAGACGGTTAACAGTCACTTGAGCAGGACCAGTAACAGTTTATTGCTTGAGATGTTTCCTGATCGACGCAGAGCTCCATTAATAATTCATTTGTTTCCTTTTTTTCTCTGCCTGACATCTGTAAACAAGGCCACCCTCCCTCTGTTTCAGTCGTAGCTCTGGCAGTGTGGGAAAGGACTTCCCCTACCTCAAAATGAAAATAAAAATACATTACCCACCCCCCCACACCCAGAGGAGCAGCTGAATTGCAAAACAATAACCCCAATAATGTTGAGCCAGAAAACGTAATTTGTTTTACAGCCAAAATGCGCCATGACTGATTAGTCTTTATCAGTCGCACGGGGTTATCTGTGAGACGACCCCCCGGCTGCTATCAGGGGCTGTTTATAGATTGTATGACAGATAAGAATATAAATATGTTAACATAAAAGCGAAACAGCCTGTGCTTTCGGTATAGAAGTACAGCTGCACCAGCATTAATAGATACACTCGCTAAACTTAAAAGCTTCAAGAAGCATATGACCTTAAGCATTAACATTCAAAAAGTACTGATGACATGAGAATGGACCAATCAAAATGTTAAAATACTCACTATAAGAGTAGCTATTTTATACACTTTTGAACTGAGTCTCAGCAAGTCAGATAACAAAGACCTCTGTTTTTGTCTTTGATGAGATTCTTCAGATGAGGAACTGACCACAGTATGGCAGTCAGGGTGATCCCCTCCTCTAACCGAGAGAGAACCAGTGGAACAAGTGCCTCTCCCATTTCTCAGAAGGAAAAGCTTGTTCAAACATGGTTCCCCACTCTTGTCTTTACTGAACAGTTAATAGGCAAATTCTAGTTTTAGTGTCTTCCCACTGAGTGAATTCACTCAGAGACACTAGAGTGGGTTCACTCTAGGAATTTGACCTTTATGGAAAATAGGTGCTTGACTTCTGTAGGGATGAAGGAGAGGCTCTCTGCTAATATGGGAATGGAGAGTGGACAAATGAGGATTATTTAAATTCCAACACCTGTTTTATAACAACCTGCTGTCATTCTGGTTAACTGTCATTCTGGTGTGTGTGTGTGTGTGTGTGTGTGTGTGTTTTCACAGGGGACTGCTGGCTGCTGGCAGCCATTGCCTCCCTGACCTTAAACGACAATCTCCTCCACAGAGTGGTTCCTCATGGACAGAACTTCGGACAGGGATATGCCGGCATCTTTCACTTCCAGGTGCCAAGCTCTACTTCCTGCATTTACATTTATATCAGTCTAACGGATAGACACTCAACAAACACAACTGACACCTCCCACACTCCAACAGCCACCTGGTGGGGCTGTCATGATATCACTACACAATTATCGTGGGGAAAATAATTCAAAATAATTATATTATTGCAATATCAATAGAAGATTAGAAAAAGTCAAAGTTATCTTGTCAGTTAGATAAGTCATTTATCAAATTAATTACACTCAACTGTAACACTGGCAACCAGCAATAAGGTGCTTTACCGCCACCTACTATGTTGATTGTGAACCACAAAATGGGAATGAAAAGATATGTTAATGATTTACCGGGTGCTGGATTATTTACACAATATTAACATAAGTGTATTATTAATGTGTATTATTATCGTGACAACTTTAATGGGCAGCTCATTAGAGTTATCTGGTTATCAAAATTTAATTTACTGCAACTTCCACTGTTGTTTCCGTTAAGTTTCACAGCACTGTACCAATGTCAGAGCTGCATCTGAATGGACGTTTATTGTCCATACAACTAATACATAACAATACTATAGTAATAGGTTGTAATTTACATTTATTTACAGCTGGCCACCCTACAATACACTTTGTGAGGGATTTATAGAACTCATGGGCTAAATCCAGCCACCCCCAAGACCTGCAGACTGAACCCTTGTAGACTTATTATTTCTGCAAGCATACTGGGTCACCTGGGACAGGACTTCAGACCTCAGTTGTTTTTTTGGGGACGTTAATTTGAATTCCTGACCATTTAACCAATCTCAAATAGCTTTGGTGGTGCTGACACTGGCAATTTATGCTGCTCATAATATAGCAGGAATAGTCATGCATATTAGTATGCAAAGTAGAATATCCCTTTAAATGAGCTCCTCAACACTGCAGATACTGTATTCTTATTAAAACCTTAACTGAGGAGTTTCACATTGTTGGTGGATGAAAAGCAACAGCCTATAATTATGGGTCCGGACATTTGGATTCAGCCATACAAAATGAATGTGAGCCAGCAGTTCTGTGCCAGCTCACTTCTTTCATTTGTTTTTCTGCCCCACTGCTTCCTGTTGTGTAAGTTCCTGCTAGGTGCACCATCAGTTGTGCAAACTGTTAGACTGAAATCAAAGTTAGTTTTCTTTGGTTCAAACCAAGGTGGAAAAGTTTATTTTGTTGCATTTTTGTTAGTAGCGGGGTTTGACTTTTTTTATTTACCCATCGCAAGCAAACCAGTATCATGTTCAGCTGCCAAAATAAATATAGAGTTGATCTGTGGTCAGATGCTTGATTAAATTTTTGTTTTGAGTCACAGGAAGATCCTTGATACAATCGGTTCAGAAATGTATATTCTTTCCCCGTACTTCATGCCTTCATTTAAAACATGGAGCAGCTTACTGATTCATTTGAATACAGTTACAGACATTCATGCTATGAGTTATCAATTGACCATCATTTTAAAGGACTAATGTGTAGGATGTAGTGGCATATCTAGCAGTGAAGTTGCAGATTGCAATTATCCAAAGTGTGTAGGAGAAACTACGGTGGCTGTGACACTTGCAAAAAACGCTTTACAAAAGGCTCTTATCTTTATTTATTCAGAGTAAGTCATTCTTTCTTTCCCTAGAATTTCCCAGCAAGACAGAGGATTTAAAACAATAATTTTCGTCTCATATCTGGCTTTTTTCCATTTGTCAAACCCCACTGAGTCATCCAAGATAACTGAACTCTCAGATCCACACCCACTCAGCCAGTCAATAAACTTTACCTGGGAGCATTTGAGTCATCATCAAACTTAACTACACTCTCCAAAGTGACCAACGCCCCTTTTCTTTATCAGACACAGAGTTTTTAAAGCCAAGAGAAGACATGATCTGTCGTATCTATGAAGACAAAACCACTGTTGACAATCAAACCCTGTGTCGTCATCTGATGTTTCTAACTATAGTTCAGTATCACTTTCCATGCCTGAAGACCAGTCCTGCTGCTTTGTAATTTAAATACAAAATATGCATTCTATTCATTGTATGTCTATGGTACAAGCCTCTGGCAGACTGCCCGGTCTTATCAACTGAACTTTGCTTTATATACGAAACCAAATATTCCACACGCGCACTTGAACACACTTCAATACACACACAAAACCACAGGCAAATTTGAGACCTCTCAGTAGCTGCACACAACGACAGTGACACAGGTGTTGGCTTGAACACAAACCCTTTAATACTGCTGTCGGTAAGCAGGTGAACATCACATGCATTCAGTCCAAAATGAGATAGGGAAATCTTGTAGCAGTAGTTTATACGGATAACTTCAATTTGAATGTAGTATATATTGTTTGTAGTATATTTTACAACCAAAATCCATTCTCCATGGGAAATTAGTTTTGCTCAGGAATAATGTTCTTGTGGGAAAGAAACTGTAGCCTAAAGTTTTTTACACCATTATCCTCAGTCAGAAATGTTCAACCAATTAATAACCAACTTCAGTAACTTTATGAATCGCAAACCATATCAACAACAAGCTGTGTTTGGTGTGGAGAGCGAGAAAACACAACCAAAACACACAGCAAGAAAACCTACAACAATTTAAGCTTCAGAAAACAGCACATTAGATTAGCATATTAGATATTCTTTTTATTCTGTCTTGTTTCAGTATTCTTTAATGATGTCAGGAAGGGCTGTGGAGGAGTGTGTCTCTCCTGTGATCTCACATGCCTCATTATCTGTGCTCGAATGTGAGTGCGTCTTTGTCTGAGTACTCCCTCCTCTGATCTTACACCAGCATGTCTCCGTAGCCTCCCCCAGCTTGTCTGCATGGCAGGAGCAACTGTGAGCCCCCAAAATGTCTTACTAAGCAGTTACTCACGTTCCTCTCATGTTATCAAGCCCTCAGAATCTGCCCAAAACAGCTGGAGATTGATATTTTATTTTTTCTGTATGACTTTTATAAGGAAGAAGCAAACACAGGAATTAATCATTCTTCAACAACTCAACCTGCTTTGTCACAGGGTGCTTCGAGCTGAGTCGACTGCACTTAGATGTGAGACAGTGAGAACTGTGCCAACCAGACTGTCAGCCCGCCAAGTGTTGACATGGGAGAGAGAGAGAGAGAGAGAGAGACATTAAAAGGGACGAGGGAGAGAGAAAGAGGAAGCTAAACAGGGAACAGAGGGGAAGCTCTTGAATATCAAAGACACGTATTACATGCATAGGGAACTGTCTCTCTCTAATGTAGAACACACATGCACACAAAGACTGAATGCTCAGACTGGCTGCTGTCAGCTGTACACACACACACACAC